GTATTGCTGGTATATATATCCATAGTGTATTTGTTTGGGTTGGTTTGATGTTTTTGTTGTTGTTTTTCTGCGAGTTTTTCGATTTTCAGTTTTTGGATTTATTAAGCTCGAGTTTCTAGTTTTTCTTATGTTTATCCGTGTTTAGTTATCATAATGTCATTTTCGTTTTTGTGTGTGTGTTTGTGTGTTTTATTATTTCTGTAGTCTGAGTGTGTTTTTTTTGTATGTGTTTCATCATTTGTTTTTTCTTTATTTCTTTCATTGTTATTGTCTTTTGTCTTTTTGTGTTTCACCATTACTGTAGTTTGTATTTTGGTCTCTCATCTTATCTTTACATACGATTTTGTGTGATACTGAGTTTCACCATCACTGTGTTTCGAGTGTGCTTTTGTGTTGTACATTTACTGCATACTGTGTGTTTCACCATTAGTGTTTCGTGTGTGTTTTTGTTATCATTCACCATTGTCGTGTTTTCGTGTGTGTTTTCGCGTTTCACCATTTTTTTTTTATTGCATGGTTTTTAAATATTGTCTAAACTGTTTCCTAACAGTCTTCTTGATTCCACTTTCCTTATTTAATTTTAAAAGTTACTTTTAGGTGCTCGCATCAAAAGTGTTCTTAATTATCCGTTTTTGTTAATTTCCTTATTCTCTTGTTGTCTCTCATTCTCTCTCTCTCTCTCTCTCTCTCTCTCTCTCTCTCTCTCTCTCTCTCTCTCTCTCTCTCTCTCTCTCTCTCTCTCTCTCTCTCTCTCTCTGTTCTCATATATTTAGTTAGATATATATAATAGATAGATACAAGGTTACAGAAATGTAGATATATAGACAGACAGATACGGATATGGATACAGTAGAGAGATAAATAGATATAGATAGATAAATAGATATAGGTCTAAATAGATAGATAGATAGATATAGGTCTAAATAGATAGATAGATATAGGTCTAAATAGATAGATAGATTTTTTTTCCCCCGATACCTTCTGTCGTGCTTTCTCTTTTTTCTCAAAACCATTCACTCAGACCACACGAATCTCAAACAAGCAGGAGAACAGAGAAAGAAAGAAAGAAAGAAGACAATGAGAGAGAATAGGAAAAAGAAACAGAAATCAAATGCATAATCGTAGCGTTGCGTGACGTCATTGCATGTCATAAGAGGTCAGTTACTGAAGATTTTTTCCTATTATCATTATTATTATCTTAATACTGAAACTTTTTTTCTGCGATTGATGGTTCGAAAACGTGTCTTTTCTAAGAGAGACAGAGAGAGAGAGAGGTAGGGAGGGAGGGAGGGAGAGAGAGAGAGAGAGAGAGAGAGAGAGAGAGAGAGAGAGAGAGAGAGAGAGAGAGAGAGAGAGAGAGAGAGAGAGAGAGAGAGAGAGAGAGAGAAAAGAGAGACAGAGAAAGAGAGAGAAAGAGAAAGAGAGTGAGAGAAGCAGAGAGAGAGAAAGAGAGACAGAGAGACAGAGAAAGAGAGAGAAAGAGAAAGAGAGTGAGAGAAGGAGAGAGGGAGAAGAGAAGAGAAGAGAGAGAGAGAAAGAGAGAGAGAGAGAGAGAGAGAGAGAGAGATTTTGTTGCTAATATTAATAATTGTGATAACGATATAATAATAATGATAATAACCGACCTTTATTTTCATTATTGTTACTATCATCACTGGCATCCTGATTGCTAATAGGGGTACTATTATCATTATGGTCTTTATCACCGTCATCAAGATCATATCTAATTCAAATGTCATTGTTGCAACTTGATAATATAAAGTTGCAGTAATATCATTTATGACAATTATAAGATTTATTATAACCATCGTTCCATACATGACATATTGCAAAAGTAACAGTGGCAGACGAAAAATTGGTGAAATATAAATGAAGTAAATAAAAAAAAAATGTAACAAAAAACAAAAATAAATAAAGAAAGAAAAATCAAGAAAAAAACACAAAAAATGAATATGAATGAAAAAAAGAGGCATTAAAAGTAAATAGCTAGAATTACTTAACAATTTTAAAAACTTTCCTCGCGCGGTTGTTAACAGACAAAAGCTTTGAAAAAGTTCAGCCCCGGAGGTTTTACTTTCACTGAAATATCTTGCGTTATTGCTCGGTTGTCGCATTAGTGTGTGTGTGTGTGTGTGTGTGTGTGTGTGTGTGTGTGTGTGTGTGTGTGTGTGTGTGTGTGTGTGTGTGTGTGTGTGTGTGTGTATGTGTGTGTGTGTGTGTTTGTATGTATGTGTGCGTGTGTATTTGTATGTGTGTGTGTGTGTATTTGCATGTGTGTGTGTGTATTTGTATGTGTGTGTGTGTATTTGTATTTTTGTGTGTATGTGTGTGCGTGCGTGCGAGCGGGCTTGTGTGTGTGTGTGGGTGTTTATATTCATTTGTGTGTGGTTTTGCATGCATGTCTGTGCGTATGTCTAAAAGGTAATCTTTCTTTACAATTACATATCTTTTAAAAACATTGATTCGAAAAAGAAAGTAACAGAGCTCTAGATTTTTCTAATGTTAGTTAAATACATTAAATTATAAGTCTACACTGACAGGTCTTTTCTTTCTCTTTTACGAAAATACAACCTTAATACATGTCTCCGAGTGATATAAGGAAAAAGAATCTATAATTTTTAATAGAAAATAACATACATATTTATCAGACAATACAATGACTACACTACACATACACACACACACGCACACACACACACACACACACACACACACACACACACACACACACACACACACACACACACACACACACACACGCGTGTGTGTTTGTGTGAAGACAAAGAACAAGGAAATAGGGAAAACAAAACAAACAGACAAAGAACAAAAGGCAGAAGAAGAGACAAATAAAAGATATAAACAGTATAAAAAGATAATTGTATATAATCGAAACCGGTCAAATACATCTCTTGTTTTGTGAAGATATTCATTCTCATTCGTAGCTTTTCTACATTTGTCAACATGAATACGGTCCAAAAATACACAAGTAATGAGACAGAATCGAAAGAAAGAAGGAACAGGAAAAAATAAACAGGAAAATAAAAGAAAAGGAAGAACGAAATAAGACAAAGAAAAAGAAAAAATCTCTCTCTCTCTCTCTTTCTCTCTCTCTTCCTCCCTTCCTCTCTCTCCCTTCCTCTCCCTCTCTCCCTTCCTCTCCCTCCCACCCTCTCCCTTTCTCTCCCTCTCTCTCTCTCTCTCTTCCTCCCTCCCTCCCACCCTCTCCCTCTCTCTCTCTCCCTCTCCCTCCCTTCCTCCTCTCTCCCTCTCCCTCCCTTCTTCCTCTCTCCCTCTCCCTCCCTTCCTCCTCTCTCCCTCTCCCTCCCTTCCTCCTCTCTCCCTCTCCCTCCCTTCCTCCTCTCTCCCTCTCCCTCCCTTCCTCCTCTCTCCCTCTCCCTCCCTTCCTCCTCTCTCCCTCTCCCTCCCTTCCTCCTCTCTCCCTCTCCCTCCCAGCCTCTCCCTTTCTCTCCCTCCCACTCCCTCTCTCTCGTGAGGCGGACGTCCTAAGGAGAGTGCTATGAGATGGTATATCTCGTTTCCGTTTTCCGATTTCCAAGGACACTTTCTATTTCGGTCTATGCCTAACGGATAGGCCTTTGGGACGTAGGGAGGGAAGGCATTGAATATTCCGGTAATGATTTTGGGTAAAAAAAAAGAAAAAGGAAAAAGAAAATGGAGCTTATATTTTGGATGACATGTTTTTTTTTTTACTAAGAAATAAAATGATAACTATAGTTTGGGTTTATATGCTGTTTATATTATGTTATATTTTGGATATATATTTTCTTTTACGAAAAGAAGACGGAGATAATATAGTCATAGTATGTTTATATTTTGTTTATATTTTGGCTATATATTCCCTTTCACACAAAAAAATATATATATAGCATGTACATAAAAGTTCTTTCTAATAGTTTATATTATGGATATATCTTCCCCTTCACTTAAAAGAAATTTCAAAAACTCGAATTCTTAGTATCTGTGATGACGTCAATCATCTCCTCCGCCCCCCCCCCCACCCCGAGTCAGGTCAGAGGCATTTCTCAGTCGACCTTTCACCACTCGAGGACCAGTGTTTGACCTCGACTCCAGGTACGAGTAAATATCGAGGAATTCCCCTGAATTACTTTCATCCTTTCGCTGGAATTTTCCCGGCAGTGTTCCTAGTCTGTCTTGTTCCTAAGCTGTTGTTTTTTTTTTTTTTTTTTTTTTTTTGCTGCAGTCTGTGTCTCTTGCGTTTGAATTTTTCTGATTATTATTATTCGTGTTCTTTTTCTTCTTTTTCTCTTTCTTCTTCTCTTCCTCTTCTTCCCCTTCTCCCTCCTCTTCTTCCTCTCCCTCCTCCCCTAACGCATCCTCCTTCCCTTCCTCCTCCTCTTCCTAAGCCTTAATTTCAATTTCAATTTCCCCCTCTTCCTCCTCCTCATACTCCTCTTCCTCCTCCTCAATTTCAATTCCTTACTACGTCTCCTCCTCCCCTCCCTCCTTCCTCTTCCTCCTTTACTCATCCTCCTCCCCTTCCTCCTCCTCTCTTCCTCTTTCCTTTTCTCCTCCTTCCTCCACCTTCCTTTCTCCTCCATTTCCTCCTCCTCCTCCTTCTACTCCTCCCTTTCCTCCCCCTCTTCATCCCCTTACACCACCTCCTCCCCTTTCTCCTCCTCCTCCTCCTCTTCAATTTCAATTTCCTCCTCCTCCCTCCCTCCTCCTTCCTCCACTTCCTCCTTCCTTTCCTCCTCTTCTCCATTCCTCCTCCTCCTCCTCCCATTCCTCTTCTTCTTCCTCCTCCTCCACTTCCTCTTTCTCCTCTTTCCCCCTTCCTCTCCCCCTTCCCCCCCAATTCCTCCCCTTTCCTCCCTTCCTCCTCTCTCCTTCCTGCCTCCTCCCTCCCCCCTTCCCTCCCCCACATCCTCCTCCCCCACCACCATCACACTCGCCACTCACTCTCCCTTCACTATATATTGTGCCGAGTTCTTCCCCCAAGAACTTTCTCTCTCGCCTTGGCCGGGAAGTGTAGTTGGTCGCTTAGTCTAGTGTTGTACCGTGAGCCGAGTGGACGGGTCGCTGGGAGACAAGAAGTAGTTTGGTTTGCGGGGAGACTGAAGAAAAATATTTTCGGTTGATTTGTTTTTTTTTTTAGGAGGGGGATTTTTATTCTTCGTAGAGAGTAGAG